AGAAAAGTAAAGCTTGTCACCAATTTTCGACATTTTAGATTACCGAAAAAGCTTGATTCGGACAGGAAAATTAGCATTGTACAGTTTGCACATTCAACGCGTGTACTTTTTATCAAACTTCTCGCAGTAGTGAAATGGGTAAAATCGTCGAAGAAATTTGAATCATGTGCTGTAAGTATTGATTTATTAATTGACGCATATAACATGTAAATATTCCTTGTGGATTTTTTTTGAAATTATTCGTGTTTTCTAGTCGATTTGTTATTTCCTGGATCAACAGTCACAGTATTTTGTGGATACAGCTGATCGTTTGGTGCAGTTAGCACGAGAGGAGCTTGTCTTTGCGAGGTTGATCTATTTTGGAGAGAAATTTAAAAACTATGATATTACCAAATTTAAATGCAGGCGGGATAATATTTGTTTGGAATGTTTTATTTTCACGATATTTCTGGCTACCCGATGTAATATTTCTTCAAAATTCATTTACGTTAAGAGTTTGAAAAATATGAACATGTAAAGAAATGGTGTTTTAGTATGAAATGGAAACAGGACTATGAAAATAAAATTTCCTCGTACATTTAATAGCTACTGCATGTGTTGATGATTCTTTTTATTCAGGTTACCAACCTTTCAAGTGGCTTTAGCCGTTGATGTTCTCACAGTTGGGACATTTCCACGACTTCCGTTGTGTATAAAGGTAATTTGTTGCAGGTACATTTAGGAGCTCTTCAGAGCATAGTGATTTTTATTTTTTGCAGAAAATAGAGAATATATTTTGTTGAAATCAGTATTTGATCAAGTTTAATTTGATTCTTGATTTGTTACTTTAAATAACTAAGAAATATAATTTTTCCAAGTTCTTTAGAATTTAGAATATCTTTCTTAGAAACGTGTGTTAAATCTACTTTAGAATCGTTTTATCCCCGATCCACCGATAACATCACGAGAAGAAGCATGCGTTTTAGCTCGACTCAATCAGGTTATACAGTATCATCTTTCGAGTTATGCAACGAAACTGTCACCTCGTATATCAAAAACTGTGATTAGAAATGGAATGGTAAATTTCTAGATCTGAATTTGAATTTTAAAAACTAGAGAAATTCCAAGAGTCGCAGCATAAAATATATGAGATGGTTTTATGAGTCAAAATTGTCTGCATAGTTATAATAAGCAGTATAACATTTTTTAAAACAAAAAGATCATGGGAGATTTTATAGGTAACAATGACTGTTAATGGCGAATTTGAAGTGTCACTGACCTTGTTGGGTGAGCGGCCGGCTACGAAATGGACTTTGCTGAACATCAGAATATTAGTTGAGGATTACGAAATCGGTTTTGGAACTAAACTGGTTCATCCATTACAAGTCAATATGCTTCATAATGTTTTGCAGTTGAGGATGGATAAAAGCTTGGAGGTTAATGCTGTTGCAAGTTTGAAGGGCTTAATTTAGTATTTCCATTGTTATTCGTTTTCAGTGCGCAACTTATGAGCTATTTTTTGATTTTATTACGATAATCTTACTTTAGAAATGTAAATTAATTTGTGTGCAATAATTGTATGGTGGCTAATGACTCTGAAGAAAAATCCCTTTGCCAGAAAGATCTCATTGGACCAATCAATTTGTATAGCAAAATTAAAAATATCATTAGCTTAAAGGCATGAGAATTTGTGATTGTATCTCCATTCTATTCAGTTGTAGTAACTCATTGACTTTGTCTGTGCATCATATAGATTAAAATTTTTTCCAGCCACTTGAGGAAGTGTATAATTTACTGCATTCATTTGCACAAATGTTGCAATTGGATGTGTTGTTTTGTCAAGCAACTCAAGTGTTCAGTGGTGATATGTGTCAGTATGCAGTTATTGAACGGTATGATCGAAATATTGGAGTTCTTACACTGGCTTATTGGTTAAAGAGAACACACAATAGGTACCTATGTTTTCGAATTTGCAGTATGACGGATTTGCTGTATCTCTTTTAGTAGTGATGGAGTCATGAAGAGCAGTTTATTTGTTTACCACTGCTCTGTTTATTATTCGATACTACGGTTATTGAGTTTAGATAACTCTTCATTTTATTGAATAGTTTTTACAGTTAATTGCAACTTTCTCCCAAAGTTTTTAGATACATTTCTCAATACAAGATTAAAATATTCATCGACAAGGAAAATGAAAATAATGGTTTACGTGTACGGCATTTTCCGGTGGGAAAGGGTTTGCCCTACATAGATGATCGCAGTGGGTAAGTTCAAATAGTTTCTCTATAATTCACCACTAATTTCAGTCAACAACTTATATAATCAAGAATTTGATAGTTTTTTACACATTTATGAAATTTACTTACTTGTATTAGTTGAGTGGCTGGTTATACTTTTGATCTCAATCCCACACAAAAATGAATAATAATGAATTTTTTAGGAGATTATCAATTAATCGTTTGTTGTCGGAAACAGTTAGTGTCCGTTGCCGTGAGCGACTTTTACGTATCCGGGAGAGGCTTGGTTTACTGAAACCACCAGTTATTGTGTCACTTACGGGCAGAGCTGCTCCCACGCTTACTTATCCATTGCTAGGGGCTCAGTCACATGCTGATGAAATGCTGGTTGTGTCAATTAACGATTTTTCTGGAAATGTGATCGCAATTGTACGAGCATTAGGTAAACTTTTGAGTGTTCGAAAAAGTATTTTTTGATGTTAATTGAATATAAACATTTAAATAAATAAAAGAAATTTATAACTTTTTATTTTTGGATTTTGTCCAAATTTTAGGATCGTGTCCAGAACTTCGAGAATTGGAAATGCTTGTCGACGATCGCATAACTTTGCAAACAATAACAGATAAGATGGATAGGCTAAGGTATTTTACATCATTTATTACTTATTAGTCGCAGGTTTAAGATTTCAGAATTTATTTACTTATTTACTAAAGCGTGTCGGACGTTTTTACAGGATTTTATTAATGTTGGAACGGTATCGTAAAGCGGTCGCACCTCTCCCGGTTCGGATTGTTCCAGAGAACGTGTTTTGTACTCGACTGTCAAGTTTGCCAGAGTTACCGCCTGATCGGATATGCCTACAGTTTATCAAGGAAGAAATGTATTATCTCGTAAGTCTTTTTCGCTTCCAGATTTAATATGCGGACTTATAACTCGCATACTTGCTACCTTGTTATCAAGGGAATATTTCGCAGAATTAAATTATAGGAAGTTGTTTGTTTGGCGTTTTACTTGTATTTTTAAAATAAAAGATTACTAATCTTTTGAGTCATTTGTTATCTCTTGGCTGCACATAAAGGCATATCTATGAACATTATGAAAAAGATTCATAAGTGCTAAAAAGCATATATACTAATACGTTTAATTTTTGGAGATTTGAATATTCAATCTTTTAGATAGTTTCATTTACTCCTAACGAGCGAACTGGAGTAAACATTGATATGTATTTATTATCAAACATTGAACGAAAGTTAAATATGGTACGATTACATCCTTCTCAGTTGTTGACAACGCTTCCGGAATCAAGTTTCTCAAGCACAAAAAATGACGATGATTTGGAACCTCCTGCGAAGGTATTGCCAGTACGAATGTGTACTTTAATTTTTAGAACGAGAACTTTTTTTTGATATGAATTTTTGCAAACTGTATTTTAGCGTCGTCGTTGGTTGGGTGACAGAAGACTGCTAACATCAGCTGTAGCAACTTTGGATGATCGATTGGCATTTATGAGAATTTGTGAAGAACTCGATCGTCGTAATGTTAAGTACAAGCCTCTTACTGTGGAACCGACAGTTGGTGGTCTGATTTTGCATATAACAGAGTAAATATAAATTTTTTTACTGTTTTTCTTTTTTTAGATATTTATTTTCAGTCGCTAAATTATGTCTAAGTGTCTAAGTTTTTCTTTTTCTCCAGCTTTTCTGAAGCCGTATCCTCAGGATCTGATGATTTCTTTTCATCCGTGATTAACTGTTGCCTGCGATTGGATACAAGAACTCGAGTTATTTGGCCATTTGAGTGCACTTTGATTAATACGCCGTTAGTTGCTGATTTCTGTGAGCCCGTTACTCATATTGATTATGAGTCAATTAAGGTGTGCATTATTTTCTCTGCACTAGAATTGTTATCCAGACATAATAGATCATTTAATATTTATACCCGACTAATGTCTCTGGATAAACAGCTGTAACATTGTCTTTCATTAACCTATATTTGTAACTAAATAAATGACATTTCTGGTGAATTAATTATTCAGACGAAGACGACGGTTATGGAAATTCATGGTAGTGGAGGAATTTCGTCACCGAACACATCAGAAAGTGTTTCAACTCATATGATTGATCGTTTAATCGTTTTTGCGCATATGTTTGATCCAGTGAAAGAGTTTGCAGCTGCTTATTATAGTCACTACAATAAGTACTGTAATGTAAGCCATGTTATTTTTACTAAAATTGAACGTTATAAATTTAAATACTGGTCAGGGAGTTTCAATCTCTTCGTCTTCACCTTAAAATTTTTATTTATTGTTAAGCGAAATCATAAATTAGGATTGAGTAATGTATGAGAAGATTATAAGTACGCATTCTAATTTAATTTCGGTGACTTTTTGAAGTATTTTTAATTGATTTTAATATATGACTTTTAAAAGTGGATGCAGATGCTTTATAATTTTTGTATATAGGTTGTGGCATTCACCTACCATAAACTTGTGTTGGCATACGGTTCGAATCGTAATATGTTGATGATGCTTTCATGGAGAACGCAGAAAGGTCCAAATAATAAGCAGTATTTTTATCTTACGTTTGGAATTGGACCGAGTCGTCGGACAACATCTACTGATCTCACCAAATCTGACACGTATGATTTTCATAGTTTGCTGTCGAAAAGTTAATGTGACTTTTCTGTCTCTCAATTCATTCTTTTCATTGACCTTGATGATCATTTCAGTCTTCGCTAATAATGATTTGTAGTATCCATAGAAATCATAAGATGAAATTTTATCTTTGTAAAGGAAAACTTTATTTTCGTTATTTGTTTCTTATGAAATAAGAGATATAGGAAGTAAAAGCTTAGATTTCATAACCTTGCACTTCATTGTTATTGGTTACTTTAATATTATTTACTTTCTCTCGTTATAATCTAAACATATCTATTGATCGGCACAGTGTGTTACGCTGTGTTTTATAATTCTTTAGAAAGTTTTTTGTCAAGTAGTTATCTTTATCGTTTATTTTAAAAAGTCAAATTATAAATAGGGAAATTTATTATTTAGAAAATAATTATAGATTGTGGAACCCACACGTACTGTTAGCTTCTCGTCTCCAAGAACGGTTCAATAAACGACGTTCTCTTATTGATCTCGTACAATACTTAATTGATTCAGTTGTTCCACTTTCTGCTCTTCATTCATTCACTCGAATTCGGCTGCAGTCACTCCGAGCATTTTGTCAGATGATGTGCTATGATGCTGCTTTAGCATTGGGTTTGCAAGTATGCATTTACTAATAAGTTGGGAGCATGCTCAAGCGTGTTTCATCTCTAGATTTCTTCATTTTGTGCGGATTTGATTTACATATCTTACTGTGGTTAAGATATGAAGAGGTAGAAAGTACAGTGACAAATATTTACAAAACTTTCAACTTTCCGCAGTTACACTAAGCATACAGTTATACAAACATAGAAGAGTCTTTTTACGAAATGACGGAGCGGGCTAAGAAGAGTTCATAATTCTCTTATAGGCCACAATATCAATAGTGGATGAATACAGAATACGTTTGATTTATGGCCGTGTGCATTTGGAATTCCTTTTATTGGGTAATTCAAGGATTGGCTTACGTGACTGCTCACTAGGTTCAACTTACGCATTTCGTTTGCGTCAGTTTTGTTGTAATTTCTTAAGGTAAGTAGTTCTTGGTTGTTGTTGTTGTTAGCCATATTTCTTTTTTCTTAAATTTATGAAAAGTTCTTCAGTTGCTGTGTCCGCCATTTGTAACACAACTATAAATTTATAAAAATAGAAATTTTGCTGAGTCCACCATTTGTGACAGAATTATAAAAATTTATAATAATCAGAAACAATTTGCACTTCAACATTTTTTCCAATGCTTTTATCAATACATGCTCTCTTTTCATCCCTTTTTTAGTCCTGAACTGCGAAGTACAAATGAAGAAAAATCACCTGGTGCTTTTGGCTGGACAGCTGCCAGTTCTGGACCTGGATCGCTACCTTCTCATCAGGTAATTCATATTCTATATATTGTTTAATAATTTGTAATTTTGAGGTAAAGTGCTAGGTGCTACTTAAGTTAGCTTGTAATGAAATAGCCAAAAAGAGAATAATAAAAGACTATTTCTAGCTGGTTCTTTATAATTAATTTTTCCAACTTTATTTGTTTTGAATTTACTTCATTTGTCGTGTAATTTATTTTTAAGATGGTTCGCTCTCCGGCATCGAGAATTGCTTCGTCACCAATGTCACATATGTCATTATCGGTTCCACCTATAGATAACTTTGGTTCTTCCTTACGGTATTCGTCAGACTCTCGCTCAAAAACTCCAATTTTGTTGGACCATGATTCACTACATTGCATGACATCTATTGATGAGTCTGGTAAGTTGCTTTCGACATTTATTCTAGTTATTTAAGATTTATTAATACTATGTTTGTATGTCACGTCATGAAATCTCATGCCTCATTATTTCTGGTTATTCAAGTTTATTCTAGCTATTCAAGATTTGTTCCATTTATTCTGGTTATTCAAGATTTGTTAAATGAAAACTCATACCTCGTTGTTACTGTTCAGAATTAATCAACGAATGTTACAGGAAATTGTCCTCTCGATCAATATTTATTTGCATTAGCGTACTTGTCAAAATTGGGTCCAGCGTTAGAGGGATATCGTCGGGAGCATCGTGGATCAGGTGCGCACCCGGTGATTCAGTTTCGACAACTAGTTGCAACTCCAGAAAGTGTTCGGTTATCGGTCTTAGGTGCTGCACCACCGAACCTGAAACATGAACCATTCTTGGTTAATATGAATATTTATTTGGATGAAGAAACTATGAGTTTAAAAATGAAATTGGATTTCGGCAAGTTTTCTTCAAACCACAATCAATTTTTTTATTATTAAATAAATCAAGTTACAAGATTAGAATTCATATTATGCAGGGAAAATGGATCAGTAATGTAGCGCCGAAAAGGTCTCATTTTTATTTTCCAATTTACAGCAGTTTTCCCCTACAGCAGGCCAAAAAACTTAATAAATGGTAAAAAAAATTGAAGTTTTGGTGGGATTAGTGATTACGTAGTAATTCAAAAATTTCATATCTTTAGACGGTGAAGATATTCCGGCTGAAAGTGATATCCGTACGGCGGAGCTTTACTTCGTTAGATTTGTTGCTCGATTGGGGAATGAAATTGCTGTTGTTGCATTCGCTAATGCATGCAGGCTCGCTGCACCGGGTGCTTTCTCGGCTATTGCTCGAATAATGAGTGTACAAATGGTAAGTTTTTATGTTTATCTGTGAGAATAACTGACTTTTGCAGTATCCATAATTTTTGGCACACTATAACTCCTCACGGAACAGAGAGTTCAAATTCATATATTTTTCACTTATTTTTCATGAATTATATATACATATTGCAATTTCATATTTGTAGAATACAAGAATATTTTCTCAGAGGTAATGTTAAGGTAATGATAAGATACTTGTGTACTTAGCAAAAAGGACGTATGTAAAAAGACTCTCAAGTAATATTTTTTCAATAATTCCGTGCGTTGTATCTGAGAAAAAAAATTGTTTTTCCTCAAATAGAATTGGGCTGAGGATACTCCTTGGCGTCCATCAATACAATTGGTAATGTGGAGCCAGGAAGGATCAGTACCAAGGGCACGTATTTCACCTGGAATTGTTATTGATCAGACAAATATCAGTGTTCTAATTTTGGTAAGCCTCTTGAATTGAAAAATCTATTGGCTTCTTGAAGAACACTCATCTTATCAGGCGCAGTTTTTTTTGTTTTCAAGCTGTTGCTAGACATAAAATATGAAAATCCTTTTCTAATTTTTAAAACTTTTAGCTTTGCCTAAGACCAGCCCGTCATAATCCATCAGAAAAAAATGCGGATGCATCGAAACACTTGATACCTCTCATTTACAACACGCAAACGTAAGATTTATTATACTTTTCTGAGATGAGTAAATTTTTGGTTTTAAGAATGATACAAAAGTGGTACTGACTTCATTTCCAATATTAAAGGAAGTGAGTTGGAATTAAGGAAATTTTTTAATTGTGCAATTAGATTCAATAGCTGTAAGTTATTTACTTGATGCAAATGAGTTAGTTGATAGTAGCTGTAAGTTATTTACTTGATGCAAATGAATTAGTTGATCTGCTTCAGTTCTTGTTATTTTTTTTGGTTTACTGTTGAACGCTGCATGTAATTTTGCATGCTTAATTATTTGATTGCTTTAGGAATACCGTAGCTCGACGAAGCAGTGGTGCAGATGATGATGCAAGTAATGCTACAACTGTTTTGTCAAATGTTTCTGAGCAATACTCCCTCACAAATGAGCCAGCATTGTGGCCAGCAATCTACTCTCTTGCTCATAATTTCGCCGTACAACGATAGCATTCATATACTTCTCAGGTTTAAAATGTGAATTTTTCCGGTTATTTTGAATGTAAGCTTTGTTTGCTTTATTACTTATTATGTTCTGCCTTCTGTATTTTTGAAGTGTCTTAAATAAATGGAACAATATTAGAACTTCACTGAGATGGACATTTCAATTTTTATACACTTAATTTTTTATGAACTGAAATAAAAAGCCTTATGCTCATGAAAAAAAGATGAGTCTAATCCTTATTAACAATATCGACTTTTAGACTTTTAGCATATTTTTCGACCATATCATGCATCCGGAGACTATGAGAATTGCTATACTATCTTTACTGCTTGTTTATGTCGTTTACTGATTAATTTTTCTCGGTCATTCACTGATTCTACTATAGACTAACTGAGAAATTAGCTTAATTTTGAATTTTGGAGACACCATCTAAATGAAATCTTCAAATCATACAAAATAGTTTTGAAGAGTTCTGTTTTCAAAGTATTCAGTAGAACCGACTGTGAGTGGTGTTTGAAGAATGAGTAGTGTTGTATATGAAGGTCTTTCTTAATAAATGTTGAGATTTCATTGTTATTGGCAGAAAGGATAAGCGCAAGCTGAATGCGATAGGAAAGAACTGTTAGTAATTTCCGGTGATTAGCCTTTTTGGTAATAGGATTGAGAAAAAACGAACTAAATGAAGAGTGGTAGTGGTGGTAGATTGCCAAGTATTGGGTAATGATGATCTCGAGTTCAAGTTTAATTTATGATTTTCGCTTATTGATTTTGTATATGGGCATAAATATTTGATTATTCGCCGGGTTAGTTTGGAATTTTCGTTTTCCAAACGCATTGTTTAGAATTGTAATTGCAAATAATTTGTTTGTTTTACATTCTTTTTAATGTTTTATTCAGCAATTCTTCGAGTTGTAATCTCCATAAAAACGTAACATTCAAATTCTTTACATTATTCCATGTCCCCAGTTGTCTAATCCTTGCTTATTTCAGGATATTATGTTTAATAGTTTTACTTCTAATTCGTATATTTGTCTTTGAATAAGTCATGCTGTTCTAAACTGGAGAGCATGCTTAAGAGAAAGCCCATTTTCCATTTGTTATTTTGCAAAAATCTCATGCGTTAACCTTCACTATTATAATAGGAGGTCTTTTTTTTTTACTTTTGATATTTTTCCTTTGTAAATACGGTTGCTTATTTAATATTGTGCTACAATTTAAAGAAAGGAGAGAATTGCAGTAAATAAATCTAATATTAATTATTTCTGTGATAGTTTGTGTTATATAAAACAGGTATACTTTTCGAAGTAGATTTTGGAACGATAAGGTATTGATCAGTTTGATAGGATTTTTTGGGCAAACGTTGATTCAGAAATGAAAATTGATCAATGTGGTGCATTTCATTGTTATACTGTAGGTAGGTATAGGGGATCATTACATCTCTCCCTCTTCTATATTCCTATTTTATTCCACCTGGTTACACAATTCTTTCTGATTTTGATAGAAAGCTTCATTTGGTTAGCAGAATGTAGAATTTTCCTTGAAGAGAGTGGCTTTTAGTAGCTTGAAATAATCAGATGATTTAGATGTTAGACATTTTCCGTCCACATCTCATTGTTGCTTATTTATATTAACTTTTGGTGTGCAAGAGCAGTACATGCATTTTAATTTTGAGTCTAGTTCCGAAGTGTATTTCAGATTTACTAGCAAAAAGTAACTTAAATACAATGGGAGCGGCTACATCTGGATTGCAGTCGCAAATGCAGCAAGAGCATGATCCAAACGCTGCTTTCCCTTGGTGGGTGCGTTTCCTGGCTAAAGGATTAGGTGTACTCGGTGGCTTTGTGGCTATTTTCTTCGCTGTACTCGGCTTACTTTCATTCTCTGCAACCTGTATCATTGCTGTTTTACTACAGCTGTTAGTTATTCTTAATTGATAGTTCCACTTCATTTCATATATAACTGAAGTTATAAATAGGTTTTGTTGTTAGCTGTAGAGTTATAACCTATAAGATTTACGAAAATAGAGATTATATATTGCTCTTATTTAGCTTTTAATGATCATGGATGATTCTTAAAAAGCTGAATAAGACCATGATGAATAAAACCAATATAGGTTAATATATGAAGTAATTCTGGAAAGATATTTAAAAATTCGTAAGAGATATTTAAAATATTTTTCTAATTAACATCCAAGTAAGTTTGTGTCTGTGGTTGAAAAGTGATCTTACTACCATTTTAAACTCTAAGAGAGCGGTTTAACCTTTATACTATTACTGCAGACTAATTCTATATTGTAGAGCATTTGGTATATTAACGGTGGCATTAGAGGCTCCATTTTGTTGCATGTTTATCGATTTCATTGAAAAAATTGCGATGTTTTCGGAATCACGGAAGTATTGGCAGAAAGCAGCTCTTTACTGCGTGTAAGTTTCTTTTAACTTCATTTATTATCTTTTGTTTAGGTAGTTCTCTTCAGGAATACTAGGCTAAGGAGATAGTACGTATATAAATGATTCCTCTCAAAACTTTTATACAAATGAATAATCTTTACTTTACATCACTTCAGGAATGTTGTTCACTAGAATATTTATTCCTTAAATTTCTGCTGGAACGCTTATTTTTTGATATATGTATTATTCCAAAACTTGATACAATTAAACTTTTATAGCATGGGCGTATTACCAATATTGTTGTGCACTGAACTAAATACAGTACTTGGTAGTGGGATGATCTTCGCATCGGGCACAGTTTATGGTTTCTTGGCGTTGGGCAAAAAAGCGGATTTATCATCGATGAGCGGCACTACGGATCCAGCATGGAATGCTAACGTCAACCAACAGCAGACGCCGACATCCTTTGGAAATCCATCTGTGGCCTGATTTGATACATATTTGCAAACTGATCTCAAGCTTTTTATTACATTCAGCCATTTTTTGTTTTCATTAGAGAATGTGACAGTTGCTTATTTTCTTTTTGAGGTTTTGAGAGAAAAACATATTAAAATTATTTCTATCACTATATATATATATATCTTATTTGCTTGTAGGTTGCTGGAGTTTTGGAAGAATTTTATTTAAAATATGAAACTTCAACGTAACTTGGCAGATGTTTTATTTACATACTGATGATAAGGGTGAATGGTACAGCAGATTAAATGTTTTCTAACTTTGAACTCCTGGTATCTTGTGCAATCATTTCTTCCTGATGTTTGTGGTAATAATAGAATGATTCTTCACTCTTTGTATAATCTTTTATGGGCTTTTTATTATCCAGCTTTGGTCTTTTTCTTTCACATGTCAATTTCCCAACTTATAATATTTCTTAGATTTCTTTACTTGTATGTTACGCACAAGAAAAGTTTATTCCGGCGTTGAATTATATCGAGAGCTGCATGCTTTTCTGAGCTGCTTTTTCGTCTTCCTTGTTCTAGTTATCTCTTCACTTTAACAATTGAAGTGAATAATAGAACTATCTCTTAAATTATTAGAATCCAGGCTGATGAAAGTGCTTAGATCCTAGAAAACAAATCCGCAAAAGCTCTTACTTAGTCTAATTGCTCTTCCATCCAAAGTTAGATGCAGTGAAAGTGCTTGGGTCTTCGGAGAGTTATTTTCTAAACCTCGAATTCATAGGTATCCTAATTTTTTCTGAAATTGTTTTAATTTTCTAGGTACTTGAAAAAATTGTGGCTGTGATGTACACTGAAAATCTAATTTGGTTATTATTTTGTATTATCATTTTATCAATTTGCTGCGCTTCTTCTCACTACTTCCTATTGACTTGTGCATGGTTTGTAATTATTTACTATATTTTTAGTGACTGTCAAATTTTTTATTTAAAGCTTGCATATTTTTTATACCATACATCTCTCATACAATTAATAATTTATTCAAACTGAAAAGGGACTTTATTTTGTTAGTTGTAATCCTGCTCATATTGCAAAAATGATGGTTTCTATATGTGAAATGGAAAATGCAACATCCATTAGTGGCAAAAACCTTAATCATTTTTTCATGAAGAGAATACGGAAGTTTTTATTTGTACATTGTTTCTTTACTGTATATCCTCCTAGGCATTACATATTCCAGAATGGGAAGGGGATGTGGATTAAATGGAAGTGCATGCAGCAACAGTGCAAGCGAAAGTAATTAGATGCACTTTCGAGAAAGTTTTGACAGTGGAATAACAAAGTAAATGAAAAATATCATACATCTTTGTGAAAGTTAAGTACAATTAAATACTCTTAATGTAACTAGATGTATTGCATGCATTCATAACTAACTAGATGCATTGTTGAAGAAGCTTTAGGATGGTGATTTAAAATTAATCATGGAAATACAGTATCAGAGGATATCCTCAAAAGAGATGAAAAAG